AAATTAACCTTGACTTGTGAACCACTCTTTGGTCTCCTGAAGAAAGGAAAGAAATTCCAATGGGACGGCCGATGCCGAGCTGCTTTCAAACAGATCAAGTAATATTTACAGAACCCTCCTGTGTTATCATCGCCTGAGCCGGGGAAACCGTTGATTCTATACCTTTCAGTGACTAAAACTACAATGGGCTGCATGCTTACACAGGAGTCTGAGGACAAAGTGAAGAGAGCTATCTACTACCTGAGCAAGAAAATGCTGGATTACGAGACCTGCTACACTCCGCTAGAGAAGGCTTGTCTAGCCTTGGTATGGGCTACCAGGAAGCTGTGGCACTACCTGTTAGCTCACTCCGTAATACTGGTTTCGAGATTAGATCCCATTAAATATCTCTTCGAGAAACCGGCACTTACGGGTAGGCTAGCCCGTTGGTTGCTTTTGCTTTTTGAATTCGATCTGAAGTACATGACGCCCAAGTCAGTGAAAGGGAGAGCGGTAGTGGAGTTCCTAGCCGATCACCCAGTTAAAGGAGATGATGCAGTCAAGTATCTATTCCCAAATGAGGCCATTCTACATGTCGAAGAAGAGACTTGGACGATGTACTTTGACGGAGCATCAAACCAATACGGATATGGGATAGGGGTGTTGCTGATAGCACCCGACAATTCCTGCATACCCTTAGCATTCAAACTCCGTTTCAGAGTATCGAACAATGAGGCAGAGTATGAGGCATGTATTGCGGGATTAGAAGCCGTCCTAGAACTAGGGGCAAAACGGTTGGATGTCATTGAAGACTCGAACCTTGTTGTATCTCAAGCTAAAGGAGATTGGAAAGTTAAAGAAAAAAAGATTAGAATCTACTACCAAACCTTGGACGTGCTAATTCCTCGGTTTGAGAAACTGAATTTCGCTTATCTGTTAAGAGAGAACAACAGGTTCGCTGATTCGCTAGCAACTCTATCTTCTATGATAGACATCCCTTTCGGAGTTCGAATGCATCTGATCATCATCGAACAAAAATTTGTGCCGGCCTACAAGCTGATTGCTACCATAGATGAGGTACAAGATGAAAATCCCTTGTATTACGATGTTTGGAACTTCTTGGAAAAAGAGGCGTATCCACCAGGGACAAATGCCAAAGATAAGAGGGCAATTCAAAGAATTGCTGCTCAGTTCATCGTCTGTCGGGGTAAACTGTACAAGAGGGGTCATCTCGGGATGCATAAACTGTGTGTTGATGTCGAAGAATCGAAGCGCCTGATGGAGGCCATCCATGGAGGGGAGTGCGGATCGCATATGAATGGGGTGATGCTAGCCCGAAAGATCCTTAGACAAGGTTATTATTGGTCCACCATGGAGGAGGATTGTATTGGCTTTGTACGGCGATGCCACAAATGTCAGATCCATGCAAACCGTATGAACATTCCGCCGTCAAAGCTATACAACATGACTTCGCTATGGCCGTTTTCAGTCTGGGGGATTGATGTAATTGGGGCTGTCACTCCAAAGGGGTCCAACGGGCATGAGTACATTTTGGTAGTGATAGACTACTTTACAAAGTGGGTTGAGGCCCAATCTTACGCGGTGTTGAAGGCATCACACGTTGTTAAGTTCATCAGGAATAACATCATCTGTCGCCACGGGGTCCCGAATGAGATCATTTCAGATAATGGTTCCCACTTCAAGAAGGCGGTGATCGACTTGTTGGAAAAGTACAACGTGGCTTTTCATAAGTCGTCTACATATCGGCCGCAAACCAATGGCGCAGTTGAGGCTGCCAACAAGAACATCAAGCACATTCTGCAGAAGATGATGGAAACCTACAGGGACTGGCCAAATAAGCTGCCGTTTGCTCTGTGGGGCTATCAGACTTCTATTCGATCTTCTACTGAAGCAACTCCATATTCCTTGGTTTATGGGATGGAGGTTGTTCTGCCTATGGAAGTTGAGGTTCCGTCATTACGGGTATTGGCTAAGTGTCACATAGCTGAGGTAGATTGGCAGCAAAGCAGGTTCGAAGAACTCATGTTGTTTGACGAAAGAAGCCTGAAAGCACTATATCATGTTCAGGGTTATCAACAAAGAATTGCCAGGGCTTTCAACAAGAAGGTTAAGTCCAGGAATTTGAAAGAAAGGGATCTAACGCTCAAAGACAACTGAGCTCTCATTCACGACCCTAGGGGCAAGTTCAGACCCAATTGGACTGGCCCTTATATCATCAAGTCTATCTGGTCGGGTGGAGCTATCGTTCTGATGGGCTTAGATGGCCTAGAGTTCTCCCAACCGATTAACATGGACAAGTTAAAGAAATACTTTCCCTGAGTGTCTCCCTAAGCCGAAAACCCGAAAAGGCGACCTAGGCAAAAGTTAGAGCACAAAAAATTTGAAATTCTAAAAACTGAGCGCGCAAGGTTGAAAACCCAGAAAGGGTGGCCTTGGCAAAAGTTGGAGCGCAAAATGAGAGTGTTAATACACGAGTGAACCTGAGCCGAACTACATAAGGCTTGATTCTCATCTTTCGGATACATAGGCAACTTCATCCTGAAATCTAGCTATAAACACTTTCAAATCACCTTTGTCTATGTGATCATGTTTGGTCATCTTTGGCTATTCTGCATACAAGAGCTCGGTTGCGATCTCCAGTGCAGTGCTATTCAAACTAGGGGCAACTTTCCAGTTGCTGAACATCCAGGGTTGTATGTCTCAGTGATAGATCTCGGGCGTGTCCAGTTTTTGATCCATATCGAAAATGGTTTTGAAAAGTTTTAATAAAAGTTGATTTTGCTCAAATTAATCTTTTTACGACTTAGACCATTTTTGGACTAAACGGAAAATTTTCAGTACCCACAATCTTCAATTACATTGATTTCAGTACAGAGTTCTACTCTTGAATACAAATTGAAGTTGCTTTTTATTACATTCATAAAGAAAACTTGAAAGTACTGATTAAAGAAAATAAATTCGGGGCATAGTCAGGTGTTCCTGCGTCCCCTTCCAGAGCTTGTGGAAGCCTCTGATATCAAAGTAGGCCCAACCTGCGCCTTCTCATCAAGCCAAGCTATGCACTCATCGGAGAGGGTGCAGCTGAAAGTGGGAGCGGGGGCCAGAAGCTCTCTCGTCCTCCATGCTGTGGCATACCGAGCTAGCTGTGCGCCTCGGATCGAAAATGCAGCAGGGTACTCTATCCCCTCTGCCGGGCAAGTCTGATCATGTCCGAACTGGCGCTGGAATCGGAATGGTAAATAAAAAGCATAGTGAGTCAAGCCGATCAACTGAATCCCGGGCGGGCGAGACATGCTGTAACTCATCGCCAGTAGATTGAGCCAAGGGCAGTGCCAAGCAATACTGGTAGTGGATAGACTGCACATCCATTTGTACCACCATCCCTCATCAGGGGCATCGACTAGACGTCGCCGGAAGAAATATCCGCGAGCTGAATATGCTGGGCATGAGTCCACAACCTTCAACTTATCCGTCAACCATATCTGGGGAGGGATGAAAAATGAGAGATTAAGGAATAGAGAGGTATACGTTGAGAGAAAAGTGAGAAAAGGGTTTTGAGAGAAAAACCGAGCCTGAGGGCCAAGTGATGTGAGAAATATATGTGAGATGGGGTGGGAAACATTACCTGTAGCAGTAGTGGACTCCCCGCGAATCTAGTCGTCTCTCGGTGATAAAAAAGCATCTAAACCCATCAATGTCTCAGCTAGTGTCATGGCGATACAGCTCTTGCCCTCTTTCAAGCCCTCGGCGACCTCAATCAAACGGGCGCTAGATCCTTCAGAGCCTGAGGCAAGCAATAAATGAGACAGTATGCACAAGCAAAGCGTATGTCACTGAAAACCCTGCCAGTGATGATCGTCGCGGTCACCGGCATCAGAAAACCGATAAACCAAGCTGGGGATGTCTAATGCTCCATCGCGGATCAAAGACGGAGCGTCATGCATAGTGAGCCCGCACATCCGTCCTAAGGCTTGGATGTGGCCAAAGCGGAATTGCAGCAAAATCTCTTCTTCGCATTTGAACTCCATCAAAGCTTGGAAGTCTTTGAAAGTGGGACATATCTCTTGTCCGCCAAAGCTAAAGACATGTGTTACCGAATTCCAAAACCTTGTCGCGGCATGAAGAAACGGAAGACGCAGCGGGGTGCGACTCAGTGTGAATAGTGCATTTATGCCGAAACCCCAAAAATTGACCTGTTCCGAGCCATCCAATGTAGCAATCCAATTTGTGAGATTTTGGACAAGAAACGCCTCCATTTTGGTGCAAAACTGAGTTAGAATGAGGGAACCACGAAGCTAGAACCTTTATGAAGGATAAGGCACTGTTTGGAGGACAAGTGTCAGAAAACTGGAGGTCCCCAGGCCAAGTGGTTGGCCGACCACTTTTTCTGGTCGGCCAGCTACTTTTTCTTGTCGGCTAGCTACATTTTCGGTCTGCAGAATAAAAAACTGGTCGGCTAGCTCCTATGGTGGTCGGCCATGTGCAAAAATATGATCTCCAACTCTTTCTTGTCTTCAGAAGGGAGTCTCTAGCTTTCCTGTGTGCTGAGAGTATTGAAGGTCTGAGTTTACCTTTGTTTCGGATGCATTTTGTCGCTTTGTTTGTCTCAAAATGCATTCGCTTTTCGAGTTGTTAAGTTTTGCTTATCGAGTTGTTGCCCTTTGATTATCGAGTGGTTGCTCTTTGATTATCGAGTTGTTGTGATTTGTTTATCAAGTTGTTGCGCTTTGCTTATCGAGTTGTGAACTTGCTAAGGTTTTGTTGTTTCTTAGCGAGTCTAGTTGTTTAGTTTGTTGTGTTGGTTCACTACCTGACTTGGTAATACATCGATGTTCAAATTCCATTCAATCTCATTTTTGTGCAAAATGGTGCGATGCGATGCTAAGAATACAAATACAATACTTTTTGAACAAAAGTTGTTTTTATTCCATCATAGCTTCTTTTTACAACATTTTACAAAAGGGTACAAGTTTTAAAGAAAAAAATAAAACTGCCTAAGCTGTACAATGTGCTACAACTACATGTAAAAAGAAAAATAAAGCAGGAACATCTGCATTAATGCTATCAAGCTCAAGATCGAGAGGCCCTCTTCGCCCTCTTCGACCGAGCAGCCTCTGCACCACCACCGTCGGTACCTCCGTCTAAATCGGAGTCACCATCCTCGGAATCCTCCTCGGCGTTGCTTCCGCCCTCAGAACTGGAACCGGAGTCGTCATCCCTGCCTACAGATGTCTCTAACTGTGGATGTGTTGACTCCTCCTCCTCGCTAGACTCCTCGTCATGACTGACAAGTGCTCTACGTCTCCCCCGGCCGCAAGTCGAGACCCCTCTCCCAGCTGATCGAGAAGGCCTGGATGGCCCAGTCCACAAAGGTGGGACCTGGAAAGGACAGTTTGAGTACATTAGCCAGAGTACGTATATCAGATATCAGATACAAGAATGATACATAGAATGTGTGCATGCAGATATAGTATGTGAATGTGATGTGTCAGATGTGCTCTACACATGTAACAAATCAATGCAGTGAAAGGTTTAGTTTCCATATGTCATCAGAAGTATGATAAATGCAAGGAAATTGAAAAGTACCAGAGTGTCAGAGGCGTACAGCAGCGTCTCCCTCCGCAGGACCATGCTTTCGAGTTAGGCCACCACTCCGAGCAACCCCTCAGTATACTCTCTGGAGGGCTGCAGATATAAGTTTAAGTCATCAATGAGTGAATGAATGTCTAAATATCTGAGTGATAAATGAAAACTGTGGAGCATACCGGTGGTGAGTTAGGGTCACTGACATATCGATGATTGGGCAATGGAGGCTCCAGTGGAATCGGATAAGATGTCCCATACTGCCAGCCCGTCAGCTCGGTCGAAAGATCTGGCCACCTAGCATACTGGCAAGTCGAGGGCATCCCTTTAGCCCTACCCCTCGATGTTCTCGCCCTGCTAGTGGAATAGATGTATGTAGCTCGAGCGTGACTCGACAACGGCATATCAGCACTCCTCCTTGTAGGAGTACGGACACCTGTCAGTGGAGGCCTCAAGTATGTATGACAGTATGTCGCGTACTCCCCCTCCTCCAGGAAAAGAACTGCGTCGGCACCTCGCATAAGGTCGTCAACCTCCTGGGGAGTGAGCCTCTCTGTAGAACGCATGTCCAGTGGAGGCCATGAGGGGATCCTGATTGGGATTGCCCATCGTCTGACGCATGAAGCGATCCCCGAGAAACCAGGCTCTGCCGACTGGTCCCTCAAGCAAAACCCTGTACCGGGAGGCGCCCCATGCCCTGGTGAACTAGAACCGAGAATAACCGGGCATCGCCAGCCAAGGCTGCCAGGTGATCTGCGGATAACAAATGCATAAACTAATTAGTTGTCATAAATATGCAAGATAAATCAAAACTGAGAGCATGAAGAACTGAGAGTTCTGGATTACCTCCGTCGCCCGCACGGTGTCGAAGTACTGCCGAAGATATGGCAATGTCTCCCAAGGCCTAGACCGGCACCGACCATCGAATCTGTGTGAATATGGCACACCTAGTGGTGCCTCGACCTCCAACTCGGGAGCGAGCGTCGGGAAGTAAGCGTAAACCCACAGCGGTGAAAGGCAAGATAGTGGCTATCAGAATACAGAATGTATAGAAAATGCAGAATGCTTAGTGCAGAATGCGAATACAGAATGTATAGAAAATACAGAATACTGAGTGCAGAATGCGAATACAGAATGTATAGAAAATACAGAATGCTGAGTGCAGAATGCGAATACAGAATGTATAAAAAATGCAGAATGCTGAGTGCAGAATGCAGAGTACATAATGTAATGTGTGCAGTGTGTAGTGTACAGATAATGAAAAGCAGAAATGTAAATCAAGAGGACAGAATGTACCTCCTAGGCCCGCCAGTAGCCACCTACTATGGTCCCCCGCTCTCGGGAGGTCGCGCTCATGTAGCAATAAAGGGTAGCGAGGCTAGCATCGCCCCAATCAAAGTGCCGGACCTGTGATAGGTCTACCAGAGCACTGAGAAGATAAAGCCTGACTGTGTTCCCCCTGTCGGAGAACAGAGTGGTCCAGAGGAGGAACTTCAAAAATCCCCGGGCATACTGCTGTATCTCCTTAACAGTCTCAGGCATAGTCCTCCTGTACTACTCGGCAAACCAGGTGTACCTGACCCTGCCTGATGATCTGTCGATCGGCGGATAGGCTCCGAGCAGATACGTCCAAGCCGCCTCTCACTCACCCATATCGGTATCATATGGGACCAGCCGGCCTGCCACGTCAAGGCCCGTTAGCATGGAGAAGTCATACGGGGTCATCATCATGTCCCCGGCGATGGGGAAATAGAAGAAGTTGGTGGTGTCCCACCATCTCTCTACAAGTGCGCCTAGAAGGGTCCTGCTCGCCGGATGACGCGACAACCCCATACAAAATGGGCCAAATCCTGCCTCATTAACAATGTGCCGAACAGCATATGGAAGCTCCATGTACCACTCCCTAGCAATGATCGACCCCGTAACCCTGTGTGAAATGGGAAGATACCTGTATGTAGAATGAACAGATGTAATCAGTTTCAAGTTAAAAGAATGTTGTGTTATGAACTGTGTGTTCAGATTGAGCAGTGTTGTGAGCCGTGTGCAAAGTTAAAAGAATGTTGTGTTATGAACTATGTGTTCAGATTGAGCAGTGTTGTGACGACAAAGTTAAAAGAATGTTGCGTTATGAGCTGTGTTATGAACTGTGTGTTCAGATTGAGCAGTGTTGTGAGCCGTGTGCAAAGTTAAAAGAATGTTGTGTTATGAACTGTGTGTTTAGATTGAGCAGTGTTATGAGCCGTGTGCAAAGTTAAAAGAATGCTGTGTTATGAGCTGTGTGTTCAGATTGAGCAGTGTTGTGAGCCGTGTGCAAATTAAACAGAATGCTGTGTTATGAACTGTGTGTTCAGATTGAGCAGTGTTATGAGCCATGTGCAAAGTTAAAAGAAAACTGCGTTATGGACTGTGTGTTCAAATTGAGCAAAAATTATGTTATGAACTGTGTGTTCAAATTGAGCAAAAACTGCGTTATGAACTGTGTGTTCAGATTGAGCAAAAATTACGTTATGAACTGTGTTCAGATTGAGCAAAAACTGCGTTATGAATTTCTGTTCAGATTGAGCAAAAACTGCGCTATGAACTGCGTGTTCAGATTGGGCAAAAACTGCGTTATGGACTGTGTGTTCAGATTGAGCAAAAACTGCGTTATGAACTGCGTGTTCAGATTGAGCAAAAACTGCGTTATAAACTGTGTTCTGCGTTATGAACTGTGTGTTCAGCTTGAGTAAAAACTGCGTTATGAACTGTGTGTTCAGATTGAGCAAAAATTACGTTATGAATTGTGTGTTCAGATTGAGCAAAAAACTACGTTATGAACTGTGTGTTCAGATTGAGCAAAAAATTGCGTTATGAGCTGTGTGTTCAAATAAGTAAAATACTATGTTATGAACTGCACGTTCAGATTGAACAGTGTGCTATGTTATGAGCTGAGTGCCCAAAAAAGCTGTGTGCCCAAAAAAGCTGTGTGCCCAAAGTGAACAAAGTTTTGTGTTGTAAGCTGCGTGTTCAAAGTAAACAAAGCTTTGTGTTAAGAGCTGCATGCCAAATGAACAAAGTGTTGTGTTGTGAGCCGCGTGCCAAATGAACAGAATGCTGTGTAATGTGCTGTGTGCCCAAGATGTGTTGTGTGCCCAAATGAGTTGTGTGCCCAAATGAACCGGATGTTGCGTGCAAGTTGTGTTCAAGAATGAGCATAAGTGTTGTGTATGTAAATGTGTTCAGAATGAGCAGACATGATACATAGCGAAAGCATGAAAATGTAAAAATGAAGTACGCACCTCGCGCACATGATGTGATAGATGAGACCCAGGCTCCCGTAGCAGCAAGTCTGTGGGTGCGCATCGCGCGAGATCGGTAAAATGATGGAAGGTGCTAAGAGGTAGGATATGCTCCTGCGGGTGGTACCCCTCCAAGTCAAATGGCCGTATCCTCGGTGGCAACGGTATAATGTCGGCCTCATCCTCTACTCTTGGGGAGCCTCCGCCATATGGAATATCGTCGGCCATCTGAAGAAATCTGCAAAAAAGATACAAAAATGAGTGAAATTAGCCAAAATTACAAAAAGTCAACAAAAGTTAACTCTTGGAAAAGAAAAAGTCAACAAAAGTCAATGCCCGAGAAAAGGTCCTAAACTTCGAGACAAACATACCTCAAGTGGTGAAAATGAAGAAAGAAGCTCCAAAAACAAATTCTAATCGGTTCAAAACGAAGAGAATCGAAAGTTTTCGCGAAACAACTTCGCGTGGGGCGTTGGAAAACGTGTATAAAGTGCAGATCTGAGAGAGAAAAGGGTCTAGGAAGGAAGAGGAATGTATTTCGTCCTTGGAGGTGTGATGAAAAGTGTTTTGGAGTTGAGTTTTTAAAGATCTCCATGTGAAAAGACCAAGCTGCCCCGAAGTTGTGTAAACTGGTCGGCCAGCTAGTTTTTCTAGTCGGCCGACCACTTTGGTTGTCAACAAGTGGTCGGCCACTGGCCTAGGTGGTCGGCCATTCCTCCTGGGTGGTCTTCAAGGCCCTATTGTCCTCCCTGTGTGTTTTTGTGATGATTGGAGTCCTTGTCTCTCGAGAAAGTACAAGAAAAGTACACTTTTCGGCTCAAAAATGTCCCCACGGGAGCTTCGATTCAAGTCTTCGATGCGTGGTTCATCGTCACTCGTCAAAGAGCGAGGTGTATCCTTTTTAAGTATGTTGTGACCCCTCCGAGAGGTAACTCGAAGGTTACAGTTAAATTGCTCGTGTTAAGACATGTATCTCTTTTTCAGTATTTTGCATCGAACATTCTCTTGAAGTGGCATATTTCAAATGCATTTTTTTGCACATTTCCCTCGCATTGTTATGCACACACTTAGGTTGCATTGTCATGCACCCCTTCATCGCATTGTTATGCGCACACTTAGGTTGCATTTTTATGCACCCCTTCCACCTACATTGTCATGCACTCTTCACATGCGTTGTCGCGCACGTTCCACTCGCATTGTTATGCGCACACTTAGGTTGCATTGTTATGCACACTACATGCATTGTTATGCACGCTCCACTTGTGTTGTCACGCACTTTTCATTTGCATTGCTATGCATGTTTCCAACGGCATCATATGTGCACGCACTTATATTGCATCTTGATGTAACGTCGAACATGTGTTTATAACTATATTGTACCTGTTGAGTTTCTTTCTTTTGCAGGCACGATATTGTATGTACGGTTCATTGGAGGCTGGTGTGACCAGACGGTATTGTATTTACTCCGCATGAGACGTAGCGAGAATTGTATAATTCTCTTATATCCTTTCTGGATGCAATGTTGTTTGGGTTCGTATTCGCTTGCTTAAACTATTGCATTTGTTTTGTATAATTTCTTCGTTACAGCTTTCTTTGCATGATTATAAGTTATGCTCGGCTTTGTGCATGCCATTTGCATTTTGCCCCTGCCTGCAAGCACATCTCTTTATTATCTTGCCAGTTTGTCTAAGTCTTCGGCCTTGTCAAAAATGGGTCGTCTCTGGGCTTTGACATTCACTCCCGTCACTTATGACTTTCGAGTTCTGTCAAAAAGGGGCAACTGTAGACACCCCATTTTTGACCGACCTTAAGACTCAGACGTCATCGGTTGAGCGCTCGATGATTGTGCATGTTGTGCTCATTTCGAGTTTCCGGAGTTTTGGCTGAGAGCCTTGCTTCCGGGCTTTTGAACTCTTTGTGCTTTGGCTCGGTTTGCGGACCAAGCCTTGTTTCTCTTCCCTGGAGGGAGGAAGAGGTATTGTAGACCACCTCTTTGTGGTCGTAGACCACTTTTCGTGGTCATAGACCGCTTTTCTCGCTTGGAGACTAGTTTTTGATTTTCGGAGCCTTCGGTCGCGCGCCTTGTCTCGGTACCACTTAACGTTCTCCGTTTGGCGTGATTTTTGAACCACACCTTGTTGCCTCTGCCTAGAGGGACACTGTGGTCTGGGAGACCACTTTTGTGGTCATAGACCACTTTTGATGCCCGTAAACTAGTTTTTGAGGCTTCTGGCTGAGCGCCTTGCCTCCCGAACCTTCATCTTGTATCCTTTTTGGTTTGTTTTTGGTACAAACCTTGTTTTCCTTGTTTGGAAGGTGGTACAAGGGTGGGAGACCAGTTCTTCCCCTTGGAGACCACTTTCCTCCCCGCCAGCCAGTTTTCTGGTCGGCCAACTGGTGTTCTTGGTCTTTGGACCACCTATTCTGGTCAGCCACCACACCACTGCCTTGCTTTCATGCTGTGGACCTTCTCCCACCATGGTCGACCACTTTCTTCTCTGGCTGACCACTTCCACTGGTCGGCCGACTAGTGCAAGTAGCAGGCCGACCACTTTAAGTGGTCGGCAGCTTTCCATCACCTTTTTGGAGATATTTTTAGGCCAACTGTGCCAGCTGGAAGGCACAGAAGCCATCCTCCATACACGTGTATGGATGGATGGCTTTAAGCCCAAAGTTTGTCCAACAAGCTTGTTATTTGTTCTCTATAAGAGAGAACCTCCCCCCTCTTCCTCTAGGTTCAAAATTTTGTGCTTGCGAGTTATA